GGCTGTCCTTGGATGCACTGGCCAAACTGCAAAACGAAGCCTCACATTTGTCATTGTTGTGTATAATATTGTGCAGAAGTATGACGTGTGCGAACCTTGTCGGGTTGAGAGGAGTCTGACATAAATAGTCATGGGTTTGTTCTGCTCATTTAAGAAGACATTCATCCACCCACCAAGCACACCAATCCTCAAGCAGATCTCCGTAAGCAGCTCATGTTGTGCCAATTGTTTTTTACTGTTCACTGTCCTGGCTGATCCCAGCGCCACGCTGGCGGTGGATTCCCATGCGCCAGCGTGGCGGCGGAGGATGTGTGCAACCCCTTCGCCCTTCCCCGGAAAACGAGAGCCGAAGAGATTGAACACGAAAAGACTGGTTTTGGAGTGAGATTTGGAGTGCACTGGGCCCGCAATCCCATTGTTTTGTTTAGGATTGGCGTCTTCAGGGGCCCATTTCAAGTTCTGTGTCAGTTGTTGGAGAGGCTCGGGTTTGTTGCTTCATGTTGCTTCGCATTTGAGTTCCGAGGCTATTTGATGTATTTGCAGCTCATCAACCTGCCAACGCGAAGGGCCGCTCAACCAGATAAACTCGAGTCCTTGTCCTTGTTCCATTGGAAAACCATATTTGGGGAGTTAAAGCAACGTGTTGTCTCCCCAGTATACGATGTATCGACTTCGGAAAGGAAACGAGCAAAGACAAGGGCACCCATTGGTAACCATTTCTATTCTCAAACAGATGCCCCATGGAACTCCCAGAGCGACCAGCTTGGGATCGCTGAACTCGCCTCCAAGATACTCGGAAGTCGCACATCATGCATGGTCACCCATGCTCCAGCACCAATATATGTTCATGGGTCATCCAATAAACATGGTTGGAAAAGCATGTTCTCCGGTCAATCCTTCGTGCCGAATTGTGGCGGCCAATCCAGCACTCGTTGGCGCCGCTCGCTCGTGACTCACCGAGCCAAGGTGGACTCCTTAAGGATCTTCTGTCCGGACTGGTCCAAGATCGGCGAACGCGTGAGCTCCCCTGCCAGCGTGGCCGGGCGGAAGGAAAAGGACGGAGGACGGGCGGAAAGACAGCTGGGCGAGTGCAACAGAAACACCCGAGAACCACACATGCAATATGTTGTATACATTTGTATACAGCATGTCCTACAGACTATATATTGTGTTGTAATATACAATATATGTATAACCATTTCCCCTGAACGCCGCAGTGTTGGAGATTCTCTCCGGTTGTCCAAGAGTGGAAGCAGTGGCACCGCACCAGCACACACAAAGGTTGCCCTCATCCATCAAGGCCAAGCTGCCGCATCAACGGGTGGAAGACCTGCAAATCGCTTGCAGTCGTTTGGTTTATCCCGGAATCCCTATTTCCATTTCTATCCCCTCAAGTGGACTTCCAGCAGTACCTCCTGGCGTAACTCGTCCGTCGGAACGAACTTCTCCCGTTCGGATTGTGGGGTGTCATCGAAATGGATGGAGAACTTTGCCAAGTGGCATCAAAATCGCTGGTGATGTTCGACACAGACTAGGCAGTTCTAGGTTTTCGCCCTCAGCATCCCTGTAGGTATCACACAGCTGTTGCTGAAGTTCTCACAGCTCAGGTGGGCACCACCTCTTTCCTTATCGGTGCATCACTCTTCCAAGTTTCATGCATTGCTGACGCGCCCGGGCGGCGGAAACGGTTGGATCGGAGGGGTCCGGCATAGGACCCTTACTGTACCGGGTCCGTTCGAACCCGGCAGAAAATGACTCCAGCTTAAGGTGGACGTGGTTCTAGAGGAAAGTGGCCTTCCAAGGGCGAATCTTCACTTTCATGTGAATGAGAGTCAGAGGAAACAACAGGGCGATTCTTACTCGTTCTAGAGTCCTTTGGGTTTAGTTCCAAAGGAACTTGGTTTCTTCATGTTTCTTCCCCGGACAAAAGGCTAAAGGATTCGAAGCGGCATGGTCGAAATCCAAGACCCGCGCATTGTCATGTTGTCGCCTGGGTTGAGATTGAATGGGTGTTTTGGTGCAGCAAACCCCCACGATAGTGACTTCAAACATGTTCAAAATGTTGAAAATCCCAAGTAGCTTGAAACTTGTAATTGAGTAGAACCAGCACAGGTGAGCCTGGACCGTTGGGAAGACCAACCAATGGTCTTTTACGCCCGATAGTTGCTATCTTCCTCGGAGAAAACCTCCCTCTGAAAGTTTGCTCGAGCCCGACCTGGCTCAGTTGTGGGAAGCTCCGTCGCCGATGTTTGAGTACACTGTCATCAGTCAGGAGCTCGGAGGGCGATGGTCATCAGTCAGGAGCGTCCAAAGAAACCTTGCAATACATGGATATATATATATTACATATATAGACTAGATGTATGTAAAAGTGTATACATATTGACATATTGGAAGGGATGGTACTTAGACATTTCCGCTGCGCGCATGTTGGGCTTTGGCTGGGCTATGTAGGGCATTCACATCACCCCTTCAGGTTCGCTGAGAAGTTCGACATCGGGACGTCGAGATTTGCCGAACCTCCTCGCTGAGGTTTGCCGAACTTCCTGGGCAGCGTCCTCTTCGTGGTGGGTGGCGCTTGTGAGGTGCTGATCAACCGTGCTTTGGTTGAAGGAGTTGATGTGCCGGTTGGCTGGATGTTGGGTTGCTTGTTTTGGGTGGGGGAGTGGCCAAAAGGTAGGGTTGTGCGATGTGGACTGCGCATGATTGATTGCAGTCCAAGTGGTAGGAATGACTCAAGTGCCATGGTAGGAGGACACGATCTCATCAGTCCTTCAAGTCGCGTCATTGATGCGACTTTCCCCGACGACACATGGTGCCTTGGATGACACATCCCACAAGTACAAGTTTGCTACCCCAACCGGCCAAGCACAAAGGCAGACTGTTTCTTTGGAGCATAGTGTGAACAAGGGAGGTTTCTTTGGGGGGGCACTAGTCACCACTCAACACCGTGACAAGAGAGCATTTTCTCTCGGGGACAAATCTGTACAGGTCGGCTCTATGGTTGGTCACAAGAATGTCCATACTTTGGATCATTTAGCATTTTTTGACCTAGAAGAGTATGTCCATGACAGGGGTTCTCACAGGGAGCACATGATAGTTCTTCGAGTGACGATTGCTTGGTGCTTGCAACCCGTTTGGTCGGCACCATGTTGGCACAGAAACAAGTTGGACGACAGGTACCCCTCCAACCCCCACTTCTTGTGCCTGTGATTGATGATACGTGAAAGGCATCAACTTCGTTTTATTTTTCAAATCCGCTGGATTTGCCAAGGACATACCACTCCTGGCTCTGATGAAACTGCTTGGTGCCGCAGCTGCACGAGAATTGACCAAGCTTGATACCTGACCTTTGCTACCTATGGCGCCCCTTTCATTGATTGTAAAGTGCCTCCCTATGGCACAGTCAAAAAAAAAGCATTTCAACAAGACCAACTTCCCCTTTTCGGGTGTTGTTTGTCAAGCTTTCGGGTGGTTTGCCTGTTGAGATGATGTCCCATGGGGTGGCCCACCATTTCGTGCAAGGCTGCTGGTAGGTTGGTAGGGTATTTTGTTGCAATTATTCTTGATGTTACGCTCCTTGAATCAATCATGAATCAATCATGGTATCCAAGGGGCCATTTGCCATGTTCTTGATTATTCAAGTGCATTGTTGTGTTTGATTGATTTGTTTCTTTGCTGTTTAAATGTGTTTGTTGTGGTAGTGGTTGGCTCTTTGCCTGGACGTTCTACCCAGAATTCCGCCAACACCAAAACACTATTGGAGGTTTTCCTTCAGATCCTCCTGTAGATATCCGTATCATTTCCTAGGGTTTGTCCCATTACCTGTAACAGTCAGTAAAATATTACAACTATTTTTGGACAAGGCCTCTACCTAACCATCACCATCCACTGTTACAGGTAATAGGATAGACCCAATCATTGGTTGGACCAACCAAAAGCTACAAGCTACTCACCCATGGCTGGTGGTGCTGTCAAAGCCTTTCCCCATCCACAGGGTGGCGTCCTGGTTCACTTTACTGGGCTCCATCTTCTTCACGGTGGCTGCAGTGCCTCCCATGGAGCCTCGGCGTGTCGCCTTTGTTAAACACATACTATATGCACATAGATGCATCTAGTATTATATATTTGTTGTATATATGAATGTATTTGACCTCTCTTTTGACGGGAAAGGCATGGAAGGCCATATTTTATCATGTCTTGACTGGTTGGTGGTCCAAAATAGAGGTCGCTAAGCCTCACCCCGGATCATTCGGATGCTGAGATCCCTGCCTGGTCGTCCGTGCCCCTGGTCACCGACATGGGCGCGGGAGCCTGGAAAAGGATGGACAAAGGATCGCATTTTGGGGCGGGGAGAGGCCCGCTCGGAGCTGGGAGCACCGGAATTCCATTCCCAGGTTCGTCAGGTCCCAAAATGGTGGCACAACAACGTTTTCCAGGGGGTGAAGATGTGAAGAACTGAAGGGTCCCGGCGGGTTTACCTCCAAAAAGCACTTCCTCTCATGGTAAAGTGGTGCCAGATGCCGAGAGCTGAAATGTGGGAGGCATAGATAGTAAGCAATCATTGCCACTCTTTGGCTTGCTTCCACTATTTATTGCTTTAGTGCCATATCCGCGATGCCAAAGAAGTTGCGTGACTTGTGTTGGCAATGCTGAGGCTACTTTCTGGGTGCATTCTTCTTCGCCATCAATGCGGTGTTGCTTCTCCTTCTGTGGCTACTTGGAGTTGGTTTGGTGCTGCAAGTCAAGTTGAAATCCAATGCACAAACAGTACAATCTTAGATTTGTGGCTCCAAGTGGTCAAGTGCTATCGAGCTGGCCATTGAGCATCATTAGTTTCAACATATGTAAACCTTGTAGCAGGTTTTGTACTAAGATAGTTTTTTGTACTTGACACTCTAGCCCAATAAATCATACAATACACGCATATGACCATTCCTGAGAAAGCTCACTAAGCTAAAACAAACAAACACACACACACGCACCAAACTCGCACCCCGATGGCGAGCCGTGGCACCTTTCCACGCCCACGTGGACACCGTCATGCGCGTCTTTTCGCAGTGCTTGGGTTGTTGAGCCTGGGGACTGCGTGGAGCTTCGCCAGCTTCGCCCGAGCAAGCTCTGTTGGAGCCAGGGCCACCGAAGGAACCACCTCGTCGAGCACGACCACCCTGAAGGACGACTTGCTGAAGCGTTGTGAGGACTTCAAGCAGAAGCAGACTGAGATGTGGGACCTCATGGATGATGAAGCGGAGACGGAGAAAGTGAAGAAGTCCAAAAAAAAAGGACAGAGGGGCAGTGCAAAGGTCCATGATCCAGGTATCTTTTGATCACACTCACAGTGATGGCAGCAACTTGTTCAGTCACCATACCTTACCCCCCCCCCCACCAAAAAAAAACATAAAGGAACATATAAGGTGATTCAACCTTGAAAATCCTTTGACTCTCGTCTTTTCAGACTTCAACAGGCTCCTTCGACTGAACAGGCTCCTTCGGCTGGGTTTATGTTGAAATCCATCCACCCATGTGCTTCTTTGCATCCGCAAGGACAAGGCTTCGCTCCTGGAAGCGGAGAGCTTCGCTGCGCAGCGGGTGCAGCTGAGTGATGAGCTGCAGGAGCTTCGGGCGAAGTGCGTGGAGGTCATTGAAGAGTTGGCAGAGAAGAACCCCACGGCGCAGCCCACCATTGGTTGGAGGCGGGCGTTCCAGATGGCTAAGCCCGGGTTTGTGTCAGATGCGGTTCTTTTGGGTCAGGGTCTTGGGAGAGGGATAGGGGTTGCGGACCAGGTGGCAGGTTGAAAGCCAGTCAGATTTATCGGGATGATTGCTAATACACCTGAGAAGATAGACTTACTGTAAGTGGTGGTAGCTACCACCAGGGAACAGCCATGATTGGTTTCGACCGAATCCAGTTGCAACTGGGTTTCTGGTGTTTCAAGAGCAACAGGGGTTATGCTGGAGAGCCGCCCAAGAACAGCCCGTTGAATGGAACTTGGGAGCTGCTCTTCACAGATGCAGCGGATGCCACCTTCAAAAAAAGGCAAGCGGGGCTCGGCCAAGACCTTTCAGGAAATCGATGCGGAGCTTGGATGGTTTATCAATTGCGTGGACTTCTCGAACGAAAAGAGCAACAGGGATGATACTATGGCGGTCGTACATTTGTTGCACAAGTTAAGCTCAGTAGCATCAAACGTCAAAACAAAGAACTTGGAAGTTGGTTCAGCGAGTTGAAGCCGAAACGAAGCGGACCAACACCTACCGTACCATCCCGTGGACGTCTCACCGGCCCAGCACATGTGAGGCAAACTTCGAGGCTTCAGGGTGTTTGTGGAGGGCAAGGCCTTGAGCGACGATGAGATTGAGCTGATATTCCGCACTTGGGCATTGATGATTTGGATCACTGTTTTTTCTAAAGGACTGTGAACAAAGGTCCGCCAAGTAATCTTACATATATATTATATATTATATATTGATATACCCTCGAAGTCGACCAACCATTCATTAAGCAGCCTTTACCGAACATCCATTGTTTCACTATAAAGATCTATAAAGGATATATACTAAAGGATGTTGCACTACAAGACTACATCAGCCATTTAATGGTCTTGGACTTCGCAAGGTTTTTTAGAACAAGAAAGAATGGTTTCGAGTTTTCAGATCGATTCAGACCGGAGTGTGCTGGCATGCAAATGTCTTGTGGACGGTGCACACATAGACCATAGCATGAGAGCCCTGTGCTGGTGTATGAAGGATTTCAGCCCTACTACTCACTACTCATACAACCTGCCAGAGGTTAAACCCTGACAGCAGGGGGGAGAACACGCAAGATGACAGAAAACACACGTCATATATGTGCCAGTGTGGTTTCTGGGTCATTCAGTTCATTGTATGTTGAACTCTCCACCTGTCAAACCCCGTCAGCGTCCCACGTCGATGCGAGGCAAGGTGCGGCTCCTGCGGCGTTCACGCTTTTTGCCCGAGATCACCATTCCCCTGCCTGGCCCGGGCCTTTTGCGGGCCATCGGACGGCTGTTCGCCCGCTCCAAGGGAGGCAAGGTGAATGAAAGCAATCGGGGTGCTGGGCTCCATGGCGCAAGGGCAAAGGAAGTCATTTCATCACGGTCATTGCGAAATCCAAGACTTGCCAAACAAAGAGGTGAAGAAGGTGTATTTGCCAGGTTTACCGTAATTCCTTTCATGATCTTTGGGGGGTTCCTGGTCATCGCATTAATCTTTGTGGCAGACGGAGTTGCTTCCTTTAGCTTTCCAGAGTGCACCTCAGGTTCAAGTTGCTTTATGTGGACGATGACCTCCGGATGCACAAGACCTTTGACGGCCTTTACTTCGTACAGCGACGCCTGCATTGAGCAGTTCTGATCGCCATGGGGTGGTCAAACATGTCAAAACTGCTTATATATACCTATGGGGCCACATTCTGTCACACAAAACCCTATATGCCATGCCGCTTCTAGGAAAACTCTTTGATCATCCCTCATAGTTTTCGGTGCCGTTAGGTGTTTAACTATTTTGTGAGCTTCTCTCTATGAGGTCCGGTCAATGACATGTGGATTTTTGTTTGAATCGGTGCACTTCACCGGGGCGGTGCAAGCGGTTTCCTCGGTGGAAGAAGGAAACCCCATGTAATCAAGATCAGCTAGGTCAGGAGCTAGATCACTAGGATTTGGGGTGCAGGTAGAATCCACGACATTCCTGTTCGGAGGACGTGCAGCTCTAGTAGAATCCACGCGCCCTTTGACCGTGGCTCATGTTGAGGTTCTTGGAGAGGAGAATTTTATTCCGGCACCAGGTACAGAGAGCCAAAAGGACAGAACAATTGGTATAGCGACTTCGCGAAAAGAAGGATGGAACCGTCCATGAGCTTTGCGGAGGGAACGTGAGGGAACTAGGTTTTGAAGGGACGCCTGTGGAACCGACACCACCAGCTACGAGACCATCAGCTTTCCCGCGCCACTCCTGACATCATCTCAGCGGAAACCCAGCGGTTTTGTCTTAGTCTTGAGATCACACGCTGGACCCTTACATTACAATCCAAGATCCAAGAACTTGGGAATGCATTGGATTGCTTCAGGCCATACCTACCCAGATTGCACACGAGGTGAAAGTACTTCCAGAGAATGGTCTTAGGGGCCAAAGGCAAGGACATCCTCAAGATGGTCCTGGGCCCTAGGGCTTAGAAAAACATGTTTGCCCGGTCGTGTTTGGAAGAGGGTGCTCCGGAGCGCAGTGGGAACAGAACTCCACCAGGCCTCCGGTTTCGGGTGAAATGAGCAAAGAAGTAATAGGAGGATTAAATGCATTCTGCCAAGCGAATCTGGAGCAGAAGATAGCAGAAGTAGATGTTGAACATTAGGATGCCCAACTATTAGATGTGTTGGATTTGCTTGGGGTTCTTTCAAGTAGAGTGCAAACAATACCAACTAGTTCAACAGAACCTTTTGGAAGTCCAAATTCATCCACATTTGGCATCCGTTCATCGATGAGTCACGTGGCCTTGGCTGCACCGGTCAGCACCCAGCAACCCGTGGCCTTTGTGATAACGACCAGCCGCTGGTCTTTGGAATGCGAACCACGACAAAGGTAGGCCAGGTTGGGTATGAGACGCCATGTCTTTTACAGAGCTAATTATATATATATATTCTTATCAATATACAAATATCTATATATGCGTGTGTTTGTTGTAGGAACTCTTTTAATCATATCAGGGTGCCTCCATTCTTGGATGTGCTGAGTAGCTCCCCTCATGACCAAGTCCTCGTCATCAGATCCGATCTGGGGTGGTTTTGCCCGACACACTTCAACCCACCCAGGGAGGCAGATGATTTCGGGCTCACCATGCTGAAGCCGCTGAACCGTGTCACCGATGTCGCTTGCTTGAAGGGAACCGGGAACCCGTCATGTGGGGTCATGCAGCCAGCCGCTCACAAGAACACACTCCAGAGCTTGACAGATCAACATCGATGATTCTAGATTACTATACTTTTGTTTACAGAATTTGTTATATATTTTTTTGGTGGGTTCCACCCTGTGGGGTGCAGGGTTTTGAGAGTTGTGACCCACATCCAAACGCCCAATGAGCCTGGTGCGGGCCGGTGGAGTTGATTGTTGGCTCGGTCAAACGGGGGGTCTTTCAATACACACCACTAGACCAGGCCCTGAACATGAGAGATGATACAGACTTGAACTGTCAAAGCGTCCAAAGAAGTGAGGTCAGGTGTGCAGATGACCAGGTCGCATTTAATGGCTCGTGTGTTTCCAGCAGGAACTAGAATACTGGAACTTGGAAGATTATTGAGGTCTTGAAGCTCCTCACTACTACGCATGACGTTTTTTTGTTGTTGCTGGCCCACCTGCGGTAGCTGCCCACCTGCGGAACCCACGTGGATCGTTGATTTCGGCACCCGGTCCCAGGTGTCCCGTGACACGACTGGAAAGATGCCACGTGGCCATGAACTGTGCCGTGTTGTCTTCCCACAGGATCCAGGCGCATCCAAATACCATCACACAGGATCTTAATGTTTTTGTATGTCTTCGTGTAGTGTCGTGTTGTCTTCCCACCAGGATCGAATACCATCAATGACCTAACGCGAGATCCCCAAGTGCAAAGCTGCTGCTTAAATCCCAAAGATACCGGTGGTGTCGTTGATGTTTGCTTTGGGAAGTCCAGGGTTTCCACGGCTGGCTCTGATCATTAGCTTCGGTCCGGTGACGTGGTCGGGTGTGGTGAAGCCGGTGCATGGGCACTTGGCTTGATGAATGACCACTGGAGGTTTCCATTGGATCTTTCTGTGCACCCTAAGAGTCAAGGACCCTGAAAGGCATGAAGGCTTTGAGTGTCCAACCCCCTAGCTATGCAGGCTGAAACCCCTCCATAGGAGGGTCCGGAAGGGTGGTGGTTGTTGGAGAATTCAGGGTGATGTAACTACCATGACCGACCCATGGGCTGCCCGTTACGGTGATCAAACCAGGCGTCCATTTCGCATGATTTCACGTCATAGCCCTCAAGATACTGCATGACCCATGAGTCATTGAAACAATGCAGTGTTGGGAGCTTTGGTGCCAACTTACCCACGGTGACTTGGTGCGAACGAACACCGCCACCGACACCAAAAGAAACCATTAAGGATTGCGGTCGTGCCAGAGTCGAAGATGAGCATCCGCATCTTGGGTAGATCTATTTGTTTCGGAGAGAGTAGTGCTGGTTTGGAGCACTGTTGTCTCAACATAGCAAGGAGTTTCAGGAGAATGGACTCACCAAAGCCCAACAATAGAACATGGTCTTTTGGGCGGCACTGTTTATTCATCCAAGAGGGGGTTTTGATTACTATACTATAACTTACTATACTGTGTAATTATGTATATAATTGTATATATATATACTATGCATGTATATGTAGCAATGCTGGATCAGTGTGTTTTTTGCGGGATGAATCTGAAGAATCATGAAGAATCACAACATTCTTCGTCGGCTTCCTTGGACGTTTCGTGGAGTGGTGGGCCAGTAGCTGCTGGAGCAGCACCTGAAGAAAAGGTACTCCAACGCCCACTTGGTGGAAAAAAACAACTTTTCCGGTCAGGAAACGTTTATTTTTATTATGTGTTCTTCCCGCATCCGGGGGTTCGGTTGCGGTCCGGTTCCGACATAAGTGCTTCGGTATAGTGCGTACCGGTTCGGTACCGGTACCGGCTTCCCCTTCGGTTCGGCTCGCATGGATGTTACAAGGCACCCCAATTTCAAAGGTTAACCCTTTTTTTCACATCAAAAGACCTCGTTCATTCAAAAGGTTTACGGCCCATCTCAACTGAAGATTGAGTCATGCATCCACTCAGGCTTTCCCCATGCAGGATATATGAACTGTTTGTCTATGACAGAATATCAGTCCACCAACATGTAGAACGTACATCATGAAAGGCAAAACGTCACTGTTACAGCGGTGCTGGGTGTTTTGATCTGGGTTAGCCTAAGGAGATGTGAGCTTCATCACGGTCTACTGCTGGTTTATTGCTATGGCAGTGTTGGACTGCATCATCAAGGACTGGATAATGCGGATTTGCGTTCACTCCTTGGAAATAATCATGGAAGTGGAGTCTACCACCTATTTGTAGGGGACTTCATGGACATCCGGTTGACTTTTTGTACGCCTAGAAAAAGTGCCTAGAAGAACATTGGGTCATGGATTGGTGTCGGTTCTGTTCTTGTCGTTGTTTGGGTTCCCACCAGCTGCTGGAGCAGCGTGTCCACTCAGACTTTACTGCCAACATACATGGGGATGAAATGTGTAAAGCAATGTGCTTTGTGGTACTGTTGTTTACAATGTTCTTTCTTTCAGCCATGTGCTTTGTTTTCTAATGCAGGGAGGCACATTTGATCATTGCCCCTTGGGCACGCTCCGGGCAGAGTGGCTGAGCCCATGGCTGGCACGTCGGTTGACCAGGAGGGTTCCTTTTCTCCTCAACAAATCGTCCAAACATCAGGATGAATGGTACAAGCAAGGCTTCTATCGGAGTGGATTGCTCCTTTGGACAGGCTGGTCGCAGCTGTGCCGGTCTCGCCAGATTGTGAAACTACGTAAAGGCGGAGGATGATGCTCCAAGCGGTGGAATCTCGCAGGGGATGCTGAGGAGGTGCCGATGACATTTCAGTCAAACCCGAAGGAGGTCATTGTGGACCTATAGGCAGGATCTATGGGGATGGTTCCTAAATCTACACCATACATGAAGCACCTGGGGCAAAGGGATGTATATACTAGCATATACTATGCATGCTGCAGTTATGCATGCATTTACTTTATAGATATGATCACCCAGTTGTTTCTCTCAATGTGTTCAGCCACGAGATTTGTCAGGATCAACCTTGTGTTGAATTAGGTTCAGGGACAGAGTAGTCAGAGTAGATTGTGCTTGGACCACAAGGGTCAAGGGGCTTTGTTTTCCGACGCCTCTATCATCCCAAACCAACCCTTTGGAGCCTTTTTAGTGCCCCCCCCCTTCATGAAGGATCCTATCAGCCATCATCTAACTGTTCCCAGGGTCTTCCCCCCGGGACTCGGCCGGTGGATGCGTTGGTTGGAAGGTCTCGGGATGCAGATCTTTGTTGTGATTGTGGCTGGGAGCTCAGCTGGCAGGAGCTGCGCCCAAAGACCACGTCGACGTGGGTCGCAAGAGCCGCAAGTATCCAAAGTCCGGCAGGGGAGCAGTAGCATTGATCATTAAACATCAGCATTTTCTGTGGATGGGCAACTGACCCGGAGCCCATGTTTCAACATGACTATGTGCACAATGCCAGTGATTGGGACCGTTTGGAGTTGTTGTAGCTCATGAGCGTACAGATTGTGGACCTGGACGAGCG